AGCCATTTTGTTTCAACACTGATCATGATGTTGAATGTAAAATAAATGGTTTTAAAAGTTTCGAATTAATTAACAATCCTTCACAAGGGGAAAACGTTGTTACAAAAAGCTAGATGGACCAATCAAAATACAAGTATAATAAAATTCAAAAAGCTTGACAACGAAGTCATGTTATAATAGCTATTCAAATATTTAAAATATGGGTATATTAAAAAAAGAATATATTCTAACCAATAATTAATAAATTATATGAGCACTCTTTTAAGAATAGTATTTGTTGGTTATTGGAATTCATTCCATACATACCAATCATATACTTGGGTATATATATATATATATATATATATATATATATATATATATATATAGTACAGATAATAAATCTGTTGGCATATAATCCAAGTGGATCTTAGTAAATTTAATGTCATAAGGTTGATATCCGGGCTAATTTTATAAAACCTCTTCTCTTTAAGGCCTCCATACCACCGACTCGGCATTTCGTCTGACCAAACATGGAAATGGATAATTTCTGTATCAATTTTTCGACTGCTGACATAGTTACATTTCTAATTACGGCACGAACGCAGACTATACACCGGAGTTGAAGAACATTGACGTATTTCGGTTGAAATAGATTTATCCCTCCATATGACCTAATTTGGGATTTTATTGTGTAATATATATATATATGTATGTATAGATATAGATATAGCTAGGTAAAAAATCCGTAGGTAAGAAATCCAAATGAATCGTATTAATATAAAATATTAAAACTGGTCCACAAGAGAGAGCTCAATATATTTATTATAGAGCATAGAAATGAATTGCATAAAAATGAAACTCAGTTGTATCCCATTTATATGGCCATTTCGCTTCTCGGGATAAATTCCCTGGAGCTTGTCAATACTAAAACGTTTGATAAAAAAAAATGAATGATTCATGAATGGTCCATTTTTTTTTTATCAAAAGTTTTAGTATTGACAAGCTCCAGAGGATTTATCCCGAGGAGCTAAATGATCATAAAATGGGGTAAAACTGAGTTTCATTTATATGCAATTCATATATATATATATATATATATATATATATATATATATATAATAAAAATAAAGAGAAATAACTGTATGATTTATAATACGGTTTTCTTATTAATTGTTCTTATTTAAAAAAAAAACAACAACAGTGCAATTCTGTAGAGCATAAATATAAATTTTCTAATTTCAAAATATGGTTCCATCGCTACATAGGAATTACCATGTTTCAAATATAGAAACTGAACCCTTCAAATTTAATTATAGAATTAAATTAAAATCCCTAGTACTGATTAATTTTCAAGCGAATTTTGGAATAACTTATTTTGAAATTTACTGAGTAAAACTCAGTAAATTTAAAAATAAGTTTCGTAAGAAAAAAAATGTTCCTAAAATATTTAAAAATAGAAAATCGGTTCTTCCAGACAAAACCCGCCGGATCAAAATATATTGTTCTTCCCATCAACTCTACCAAAAGGAACATTGAAAAGAATTTATCTAAACTCAACGTATAAAAATTGTCACAACTACATCTAAAACAATAAAATTATTAATTAATACAGAACAAAATAATAAGCTAAAACTTGAAGAAGTAATTTACTCCGATAACTGTAACAATTGCCACAAGTAATACATCGGAGAAACTTCAAAGAATTTAAGTAGAGATTACATGAACACAAAAGGGATCTTTTACAAAACACCCTGCTCACCGTAACAAGACTGAGCACAATTTGATTAATTTTTTTTGCACTAATTAAAAGATAGGACAATTTACTAAGACGAAAATATTTAGAAAGTGCTTTAATTTAATATATAATTCAATATATATATATATATATATATATATATATATATATATATATATATATATATAATACATATAACTTAATTTAATATTTAGAAAGTGATTTAATCGCTTTAATTAGTGGGAGGCACGATGGAGTAATGGATAACAGCTAGGATTGAGGAAGTTCGAGTTCCAGTCAAATCCATTACATTCCTAATACCCTTGGGAAACGTATGAATCCTCTTCTTCTCCCTAGCTATGGGTAAATAGCAGGACAGACCGGCTTCTATAGCCTCGGATGGCAACTGGTCTACCACAGAAAGAAATGGCAACCTACTGCGGGAAAAAAGATACATGATTGCCTAAGTGTATAGGGATTTTACAAGCATAGCTTAGATGTGACACAAGGCCGAAAGTAGGGGGCACCCAGTGAGTATCGAACTCACTATACAGATGTAATTGTTCTAGCAAGACAAGCTTGCTAACCATTACGCTGCCTCGAGGTACCCAATCGCCCTAGCGTGTATCATTCATGGCACATAACTGAATTTAATCGCTAGTAAGTAAATTTGCGTCCAGATTCTTAGAACTTTTTTCCATTCTTGGCACATCTATTATCACAATGTGGAATATTTGATAACAAAAATGATGGAAACAAAAAATCAAAGAAAGAGAATCTAAATGAACTCGGCTAGATTATATATCCAAAACATATATTTTACAAAAAAAACCCCAAAAAATAAAATAAAATTAAATTAAAATTCACTGCGTCACTTGTTGAAGTAAATATAAACTTGGTCCTATGAAGTCCTCAGGGACAAAGCGCGTCACACGAAATCTTTTTTTCCACTTTGTCATACATCTTTCTCCAAAAATTGTTCTTGATATATAAAAATTTATGTATCGTCATCACACACACACACACACACACACACATACATATATATATGCAGTAGAATCCCTGACAACTAGACTAAGAATGCCTTTCGGATATGAGGAATTGGTTACAAATTCCGGATATGAGGGGTTATATTTAGATTAAAATAAAAGAACTGAAATCAGGTTTAACATTTATTTTCAATGTTTTATAGTAAACAAAATAAGCTGATAGTTAGTGGAATATAATGGAATTGATTTTAAGGAAAAAGAAGTAAATTATGTAATGTTAATGAAAATTCATTAAATTAAGTATGCCACGTATGCAAAACAAATAATGTAATGAGGATTTTTTAATGGCTGTTGCCTGATGATTCTTTCTCTTCTAATGTCATTCTTAAATTTTTCTACATTTCGTTTTGCTTTTGTTCTTGAATTTTTTTAAACGAAAGACACTTTTTTTTTTTACCTCTGCTTGCGTTACTGAATGCTGGCTTTCTTTCCATAAAACTGACAACTTTTTAAATAGCTTTTTCAATTTCAGTCCAGGTTTCATCACAATCATGCATCTTGTTGCAGATGTGTCCCGTTGCCACCCTTTCCTCTTATTCCCATCAACTTTTACACCAATGCAAGCCATTATGGTGAAATTAGCATAAACAATTATACATTGTAAATTTCCTGAAAAACAGAAATTTCAAATCAGTTGCATATCACCGAAATAGTTCAAATATACACACCAAAATCTTGTCCGGATATACGGGATTCCGGCTATGCTTGATTCCGGATATGAGGGATTCCGGATATGAGTTATTCCGGATATGAGGGATTCTACTGTATATTTCTAAAGAATTTATGGATTTATTTTTAATCGGACATTTTTATTACTTCAAACGTTATTATAGAGGACACTTCTTATTTGAAATAGACGCCCTATTTATATTTATTAAACCGTGTGCATTGCGTTTACTGATCTTGCGCATTCGAGTACTCTTAATAAAGAAAATATGTCTTCCAGCAGAGATCGAACATGCGTCCCTCTTTTATAGGATATGCTTTCCTTAAATAGGATAAAAAGAGCTTCGCGTACTGTGATGTAATTTGTGACCGAGCGGTAACGCATGCCAGATCCCTTACTGTTTCCTACAACGGCAGACACAGGTTCGATCCCTACCGGAAGCCGCATTTTCTTTACTAAGATTTCTTGATGTAATAGACATTGTTTAAGAAAAAAAAAAAAAAAACTAGACCATTTATTTCAAATATATATACCAACGGCTTCCCATACTTAATACTTCTCGTTTTCACTCTCGAGTGGTCATGTGTGACGTCACGAGCTGTGACGCGATTTCCGCTTCCGCGTCTCGTATACACGAGTTAGTCGTTGCTTTGAAATTTTTCTCGCAACAAAAACAGACTATCATTATTGTTCCGTGTATCGGTTGATATATTGAAAATTAATTGTCATCTTTGATAATGGCTTATGTAATCCGAAAAATTAGATTGGATTTAAACATGTATCAGTATGGTGATTTCCTTTTGTCTTTCAATGATAATGTTATTAAACTTATCAGACAATATGAAAGGAACTTACTAAAAATAAATAGACAAAACTTGTCTATATTATTTAATGAAACATGCATCAATATATATATATATATATACATATATATATATATATATACCCAAGTATAGCATTGGTGTATACGGAATAAATTCTAATAACCAAAAATACTATTCTCAATACAGAGTAGAGCAAACTATAATTTATTCGAAAATTATAACATAAATATGTTATAAAATCACTACAAAAATAGCCATTTTGTTTTAACACTTCTGGTGTCTTATCAAGTGATGGTTTAGAATGTAGAACAACACCATCAATTGATAAGACACTAGAAGTGTTGAAACAAAATAATATTTTATAATGATTAACAAAATATTACGTTATAATTTGAATAAATCATATATATATATATATATATATATATATATATATATATATATATATATATATATTCGAGAGAGAGAGAGAGAGAAAGAGAATTAATATACAATTTGTCACTTTTGCTGATTAGTGTTACATTCAGCATCCCGTCTCTAGAGGTTCGTATACAGACCACTCGTCAAGGGATATTAGCAATTGACTGTTCATTTTCTCGTTTTTCTTTTATATATGTACTTTCTATTAATGCAAGGTTGATTTTTTTCTTTATATATATATATATATATATATATATATATATATATATATATATATATATATATTTAGATAGCTAATTATTGATTATTTCGTTATTAAACAGAATGTCATGCTATTTCCATGGGCCAAGGACAAGAGGTGCACGCCCGGCGTTTGCTGAACCTTGGAATCCATCAGGGTGGTTGGCTTCTGCTACAGAATTGCCATCTCAGTTTGGATTTCATTTCTGAGATAATGGACATTCTGATCGACACCGAAAATGTTCACCAAGAATTCCGATTATGGGTTACAACTGAGATCCATCCAAAATTTCTCATTAATTTCCTTCAGGTAAGTCTAATGAATTGTTCCATTCCCGCGTTAAAACCAGTAATTATTGCAACTTGCTATACGCCATGGCTTAATACCAGGTTAAGTCAAAAGGTATCCACACTGTCATCATAAGATTTCTTTAGTTTTGTCACATTCTCATGCGTGCTTATAATTGGTATTATTGTGGTCACGTGACCGAAGTTGGAGCTTGATCGCACCGCTTTTCTTGCTGCTGTTACAGTGTAAACATGACCACTCCGCTAGCAGTGTGCACCAAGGAAGAACAAAGAGCAGGTCCATCGTATCCTCAGAATCCTTCTGTAGAACCACATTTATGTCACTTTAAGTCTCTTCCTCATCGTTGAGGAGATTGTCCAGCATTCACTGCCATTTAGGAGATCAGTACTCTTTTCTTTGTCTCTAATGAAGTTTTTTATGCTCTATTAACCCATTAACTGCCAAATTTTTTAATGCTCATTTTTGGCCCAGACAGGTGTCTTAGGAGTTTATTTATTCCTTATGTTTAATTTCAGTAGTTACCATTGTCACTTTTATAGAAACTAGAATATCAAATATATAGGTGTATAAAACATCAAAAAATGATATTGATTAAAAATAATAAAAAAAACTTTTCAAAATAGCCATTATTTTTCTAATGTAAAATTACGACAGTAAGTGTCTTCTTACGGCTAATAATAACATCTTTAAAGACTAAGTGTTGTAAAATATACCCCTGCAAATGCAATGTATGTAAGCAGTTCAATGTAAATACGAGGAATAACATGTAGTGAGTTTAATTTTAACAGATCCACAAATGGGGCTCATGGTAGGTAATGGGTTAATACTCTGCTTAGGTTTTGGAAGGCATCTTTGGCTATCCTAATACGTCTTTGGATTTCAGTGTCGCACTTTCCGTCCTCTGCTAAGACATTTCCCAGTGATTGATTTTGTTATCCCCGATTTGTAATTTGCATTTTGGGCTCACCCTTTTTGCTAACGTTAACCGTCACATTACTTTTATGACAACATTTCTTTTTTATAATTGTTCTATTTTATTGTTAGTCCTGTTAGCCTCTTATTGTGTCTAATTGGATCTACGGTAAGAATGAATCTCCTGTCTCTTATTGTAGATAATTTATACATTAAAATTTATTATAAATATGTAACGTAAAAAAACATAGTATTCAGTACTGTTTACGGTTTCCGTTAATTGTCTTGAAACACATCTCCGACGGATAAATGGAAATGCCTATACGCGGTCGCTTGACTGAATACCTCATGATTAATGACCTTGTGCCTGAGTGTTTTTCTTTGTTTTCTCTAAAAGTTCTTTTCATCCACCTCTCTCTTTTCCTCTTCTTGTACCTTCTTTTTCTGTCCTCTTTTTTCTCCTCATCGTCCTCTTCATGCACATTGACAGATTTGTTGTTGTCTCTTCTGTTCCTCTCCAAAACTTCTTCTCTCTCTTCTCCTTTCCGTTCTCACTCCCCTTCCTATCTGTGTCGTCTTTACTCACCTCCCTCCGTAGTCTACTTTGTTCTTTTCAGTTCCTCTCCTCACGATTCTTCTCTCTGTCCTCCCTTCCGTTGGCACTGCCCTCCCTATCTGCGTCGTCTTTACTCACCTCCCACCGTAGTCTTCTTTCATTTCATTTTCTTTCGAAATTTTCTATCTTTCTTTCTTTCTTTCTTTCTTTCTTTCTTTCTTTCTTTTTTCTTAAAATTGCTTTCCTTTTTAGATACTTTCTTTCTTTCTTTCTTTCTTTCTTTCTTTCTTTCTTTCTTTTCAACTCTACACATCATTTTGTTTCTTCCACCTCTCCTTTTAATAATCTTTCTTTCTTTCTTTCTTTTTTCTTACTTTCTTTCTTTCTTTCTTTCAACTCTACACATCATTTTTTTTTCTTTTTCTCTCCTTTTAATTCTTCTCTTTCTTTTCTTTCTTTCTTTCTTTCTTTCTTTTTTTTTCTTTCTTTCTTTCTTTCTTTTCTCAACTCTACGTTTCATCATTTTGTTTCTTCCACCTCTCCTTTTAATAATCTTTCTTTTCTTTCTTTTCTTTCTTTCTTTCTTTTTTTAAATCTTGCTTTCTTTTTTAGATACTTTCTTTTTTCTTTCTTTCTTTTCTTTTCTTTTTTCTTTCAACTCTACACATCATTTTGTTTCTTCCACCTCTCCTTTTAATAATCTTCTCTTTCTTTCTTTCTTTCGTTCTTTCATTCTTTCTTTCTTTCTTTCTTTCTTTCTTTCTTTCTTTCTTTCTTTCAACTCTACACATCATTTTGTTTCTTCCACCTCTCCTTTTAATAATCTTTCTTTCTTTCTTTCTTTCTTTCTTTCTTTCTTTCTTTCAACTCTACACATCATTTTGTTTCTTCCACCTCTCCTTTTAATAATCTTTCTTTCTTTCTTTCTTTCTTTCTTTCTTTCTTTCTTTCTTTCTTTTTTTTCTTTAAAATTGCTTTCCTTTTTAGATACTTCCTTTCTTTCTTTCTTTCTTTTTTTCTTTTTTTCTTTCTTTTAGTTTCTTTCTTTTCAACTCTACACATCATTTTGTTTCTTCCATTTTCTCCTTTTAATAATCTTCTCTTTCTTTCTTTTCTTTCTTTCTTTCTTTCTTTCTTTCTTTCTTTCTTTCAACTCTACTTTCACATCATTTTTGTTTCTTCCATTATCTCCTTTTAATAATATTTCTTTCTTTCTTTCTTTCTTTCTTTCTTTCTTTTTTTCTTTTCTTAAACTTGCTTTCCTTTTTAGATACTTTCTTTCTTTCTTTCTTTCTTTCTTTCTTTCTTTCTTTCTTTCAACTCTACACATCATTTTGTTTCTTCCACCTCTCCTTTTAATAATCTTCTTTTCTTTCTTTCTTTCTTTCTTTCTTTCTTTCTTTCTTTCTTTCTTTCTTTCTTTCTTTCAACTCTACACATCATTTTGTTTCTTCCACCTCTCCTTTTAATAATCTTTCTTTCTTTCTTTCTTTCTTTCAACTCTACACATCATTTTGTTTCTTCCACCTCTCCTTTTACTAATCTTTCTTTCTTTCTTTCTTTCTTTTTTTTCTTTCAACTCTCTCTACACATCATTTTGTTTCTTCCACCTCTCCTTTTTAATAAATCTTTCTTTCTTTCTTTTTTCTTTCTTTCTTTTTCTTTCTTTCTTTTCTTTCTTTTCTTTCTTTCTTTTTTCAACTTCTACACATCATTTTGTTTCTTCCACCTCTCCTTTTAATAATCTTTCTTTCTTTCTTTCTTTCTTTCTTTCTTTCAACTCTACACATCATTTTGTTTCTTCCACCTCTCCTTTTAATAATCTTTCTTTCTTTCTTTCTTTCTTTCTTTTCTTTCTTTCTTTCTTTCTTTCAACTCTACACATCATTTTTTTTCTTCCACCTCTCCTTTTTCTTTCTTTCTTTTTTTCTTTCTTTCTTTCTTTTGTTTCTTTTTTTCCTTTTAATAATCTTTCTTTTTTCTTTCTTTCTTTCTTTCAACTTTTCAACTCTACACATCATTTTGTTTCTTCCACCTCTCCTTTTAATAATCTTTCTTTCTTTCTTTCTTTCTTTCTTTCTTTCTTTTCTTTCTTTCAACTCTACATCATTTTGTTTCTTCCACCTCCTTTTAATAATCTTTCTTTTTTCTTTCTTTTTTTCTTTCTTTTTTCTTTCTTTCTTTCAACTCTACACATCATTTTGTTTCTTCCACCTCTCCTTAGATAATCTTTTTTTTCTTTCTTTCTTTCTTTCTTTTCTTTCTTTTTTCTTTCTTTCTTTCTTTCATTTTGTTTCAACTCTCCCACTTTTACATCATTTTGTTTTCTTTCACCTTTCCTTTTAATAATCTTTTTTTTTCTTTTTCTTTCTTTCTTTTCTTTTCTTTCTTTCTTTCTTTCTTTCAACTCTACACATCATTTTGTTTCTTCCACCTCTCCTTTTTTTTTTCTTTCTTTCTTTCTTTTTCTTTCTTTTTTTTTTTCTTTTCTTTGCTTTCTCTTTACATCATTTGTTTCTTCCACCTCTCCTTTTAATAATCTTTCTTTTCTTTCTTTCTTTCTTTCTTTCTTTCTTTTTTCTCTACACATCATTTTGTTTCTTCCACCTCTCCTTTTAATAATCTTTCTTTCTTTCTTTCTTTCTTTTTTTTAAAAATCCTTTCCTTTTAGATACTTCCTTTCTTTCTTTCTTTCAACTTTTCTTTCTTTCTTTCTTTCACATCATTTTTGTTTCTTCCACCTCTCCTTTTAATAATCTTTCTTTCTTTCTTTCTTTCTTTCTTTCTTTCTTTCTTTCTTTCTTTCAACTCTACACATCATTTTGTTTCTTCCACCTCTCCTTTTAATAATCTTTCTTTCTTTCTTTCTTTCTTTCTTTTCTTTTTCTTTCTTTCAACTCTTTCCTTTTTTTAGATACTTCCTTTCTTTCTTTCTTTCTTTTCTTTCTTTCTTTCTTTCTTTCTTTCTTTCTTTCTTTCTTAAAATTTTTTCCTTTTTCCTTTTAATAATCTTTCTTTCTTTCTTTCTTTCCTTTCTTTTCTTTCTTTCTTTCTTTCAACTCTACACATCATTTTGTTTCTTCCACCTCTCCTTTTAATAATCTTTCTTTCTTTCTTTTTTTTCTTTTCTTTTTCTTTTCTTTTTTCTTTCAACTTTCTTTTTTCTTTCTTTCTTTCTTTCTTTTACTAATCTTTCTTTCTTTTATTTCTTTTCTTTTTTTCTTAAAATTTCTTTCCTTTCTTAAAATTACTTTCCTTTTAGATACTTCCTTTCTTTCTTTCTTTCTTTCTTTCTTTCATTTCTTTTTTTTTCTTTCTCCTTTTAATTTTTCTTTTTCTTTCTTTCTTTCTTTCTTTTTTTTCTTAAACTTGCTTTTTAAAACTTTCTTTCTTTTTTCTTTTTCTTTCTTTCTTAAACTTGCTTTCCTTTTCTTTCACCTCTTCTTTCTTTCTTTTTTCTTTCTTTCTTTCAACTCTAAACATCATTTTTGTTTTTTTCCACCTCTTCTTTTTGTTCTTCTTTCTTTCTTTTCTTTCTTTCTTTTATTTCTTTCTTTCTTTTTTTAAATACTTTCCTTTTAGATCTTTCTTTTCTTTCTTTCTTTCTTTCTTTCTTTTTTTCAACTCTACATCATTTTGTTTTTTCCACCTCTCCTTTTGTAATTATTTCTTTCTTTCTTTCTTTTTTCTTTCTTTTAGTTTTTCTTTCTTTTTTTCTTTTCTTTCTTTCTTTTTTTTTCCTTTTTTTGATTCTTCACTGTCTTTCTAAAGATCTTTTTTCTTTTCTTCTTTCTTTTTTTCTTTCTTTCTACTCTACATCATTTTGTTTCTTAGAAAACATAGTTTTCCTGGTCTGTTGCGATTTCTGAATTTAAGTCTCTGGCTAGAACCCGGAAAATGAGTATACAGTCGAAACTAAAGGAAATAAAATGATAATAATAATTCCGTTTTATGAATGACAGAAGAGCAGACCATTTTGTTTTTCTTTTTGGTGAGCAAAAAAAACGTAGTAATAGTGTTTTCCTGGTCTGTTGCGATTTCTGAATTTAAGTCTCTGGCTAGAACCCGGAAAAATGAGTATACAGCCGAAACTAAAAAAATAAAATGATAATAATACTTCCGTTTTATGAATGACAGAAGAGCAGATCATTTTGTTTTCTTTTTGGTGAGCAGCCAAAAACGTAGTAATAGTGTTTTTCTGGTCTGTTGCGATTTCTGAATTTAAGTCTCTGGCTAGAACCGGAAAATGAGTATACAGCCAGAAAAAAAAATAAAATGATAATAATACTTCCGTTTATGAATGACAGAAGAGCAGATCATTTTGTTTTCTTTTTTTGATGAAACAATAAAGCAATAGTAATAGTGTTTTCCCTGGTCTGTTGCGATTTGAATTTAAGTCTCTGGCTGAACCGGAAAAATGAGTATACAGCCGAAACTAAAATAAGATGATATAATACTTCCATTTTGCCAGAATGACAGAAGAGCAGATAATTTTGTTTTCTTTTTGTTGTGCAGCCAAAAACGTAGTAATAGTGTTTTCCTGGTCTGTTGCGATTTTGAATTTCAGTCTCTGGCTAGAACCGGAAAAATGAGTATACAATGAAAACTAAAGCGAAATAAAATGATAATAATACTTCTGTTTAAGGGGAATGACAGAAGAGCAGACCATTTTGTTTTCTTTTTGGTGAGCAGCCAAAACCCTAGTAATAGTGTTTTCCTGTCTGTTATGATTTCTGAATTTAAGTCTCAGTTAGAAACCCGGAAAATGAGTATACAGCTGAAAGCGAAAGGAAATAAAATGATAATAATACTTTCTGTTTTATGAATGACAGAAGAGCAGATCATTTTGTTTTTCTTTTTTGGTGAGCACAAAAACGTAGTAATAGTGTTTACCTGGTCTGTTGGTGATTCTGAATTTAAGTCTCTGGCTAGAACCCGAAAAATGAATATACAGTCGAAAACTAAGGAAATAAAATGATAATAATACTTCCGTTTTATGAATGACAGAAGAGCAGACCATTTTGTTTTTTGGTGAGCGGCGCCAAAACGTAGTAATTTTCTTTCCTGGTCTGCTGGTGAGAATTTAAGTTCAGAACCAAAAAAAAACGTCGAAACTAATAGTAATAATATCGTTTTCTAAGGTCATTTGTTTTCTTTTTGGTATAGCCAAAACGTAGTAATAGTGTTTTCCGGTTCGAATTTCAGTCTCTGGCTAGAACCCGGAAAAATGAGTACAGCCGAAACTAAAGGAAATAAATGATAATAATACTTCCGTTTTATGAATGACAGAAGAGCAGATCATTTTGTTTTCTGTTTTGGTGAGCAGCCAAAACGTAGTAATAGTGTTTTCCTGGTCTGTTGCGATTTCCCTGAATTTCAGTCTCTGGCCAGAACCGGAAAAATGAGTATACAGCTGAAACTAAAAGGAAATAAAATGATAATAATACTTCCGTTTTATGAATGACAGAAGAGCAGACTATTTTGTTTTTTTTGAGCAGCCAAAAACGTAGTAATAGTGTTTTCCTGAGCAGCCCCAAAACCCGAAAAAATGAGAGAGGATAGGTCGAACTAGTAATAGTGTTTTTTGTTTTTGGTGAGCAGCCAAAACGTGGAATAGTGCTTCTTCTGGTCTGTGGCAAAAGATTTCCTGAATTTGTCTCTGGCTAGAACCCGGAAAATGAGTATACAGTCAAAACTAAAGGAAATAAAATGATAAAAAACGTAGTAATAATCTGTTTTATGAATGACAGAAAAATGAGCAGACCATTTTGTTTTAATTTTTTTGAGCAGCCAAAAACTTTTTTGTTGTAATAGTGTTTTCCTGGTCTGTTGCGATTTCTGAATTTAAGTCTCTGGCTAGAACCCAGAAAAATGAGTAAGACAGCCGAAACTAAAGGAAATAAAATGATAATAATACTTCCGTTTTATGAATGACAGAAGAGCAGATATTTTGTTTCTTTTTTGGTGAGCAGCCAAAACGTAGTAATAGTGTTTTCCTGGTCTGTTGCGATTTCTGAATTTAAGTCTCTGGCTAGAACCCGGAAAAAATAGTATACAGTCGAAACTAAAAGGAAATAAAATGAATAATACTTCCGTTTTATGAATGACAGAAGAGCAGATCATTTTGTTTTTTTTTTGAGCAGCCAAAAACGTAGTAATAGTGTTTTAACTGGTCTGTTGCGATTTCTGAATTTAAGTCTCTGGCTAGAACCCGGAAAATGAGTATACAGCCGAAAACTAAAGGAAATAAAATGATAATAATACTTGTTTTTTATGAATGACAGAAGAGCAGATCATTTGTTTTTTTTTTGGTGAGCAGCCAAAAACGTAGTAATAGTGTTTTCCTGGTCTGTTGGATTTCTGAATTTAAGTCTCTGGCTAGAAATCGGAAAAATGAGTATACAGCCGAAACTAAAGGAAATAAAACATAATAATACTTCCGTTTTATGAATGACAGAAGAGCAGATCCATTTGTTTTCTTTTTTGGTGAGCAGCCAAAAACGTAATAATAGTGTTTTCCTGGTCTGTTGCGATTTCTGAATTTCAGTCTCTGGCTAGAACCCGAAAAATGAGTATACAGTCAAAACTAAAGGAAATAAAATGATAATAATGACAGAAGAGCAGATCATTTTGTTTTCTTTTTGGTGAGCAGACAAAACGTAGTTAGGGTGTTTACCTGATCTGTTGACAGAACCCAAAAATGAAAACTAAAGGAATAAAATAGTTTTATCATTTTGTTTT